AGAACCCTTTCAGCAAAGAAATTCTTCCTCACATCCCATCTCAACTGCCCTGGCCACAACTGGAGCCCGTTTCCTCTTGTCCTCTCCCTTGGTCCTTGGTTGAACAGCCCCACCCCCACCTCTCTCCCCCCTCCTCCAAGGGACTTGCACAGAGCCACAAGGTCTCCCCTCAGCCTCCTTTTCTCCAGCCTCAACACCCCCAGTTCCCTCAGCCACAAGGGAACTCAGCACACTTGTGCTCCAGACCCTTCCCCAGCTCCGTTGCCCTTCTCTGGACACGCTCCAGCACCTCCATGTCCTTCTTGGAGTCAGGGGCCCAACACTGAACCCAGCACTTGAGCTGCGGCCTCACCAGTGCCCAGTACATGGCAAGGATGACTTCCCTGGTCCTGCTGGCCACTCTGTTTCTGATGTCATCCACTGGATGGACATCCCTGATGGACTCTCATGTTTCGTGCTGCCAGTCTGGGGTTGATACCCTGGCAGAACCTGGCTGCCCTGTAGAAGCATCACTCCCCGTTTCCAGGCAGTTAACTCATAAAGCCCTTTTCCACCTTATTTCTCTTGCTTTTTGTGGGCATGTTTGTGTCCCTAGCGCTGCTTTTGTATGTGCCCACATCCCTCTGCAGTCCTCAGTGATCCCAGGGTGCCTCCAAGGTATCAGGAGAAGTGTCAGGGCAGACTGAACCCACACCAAGGCAGCAGCATCTCCCCAGACCCCATCTGGGGACCAGGAGGGCTGCAAAAGGTCCAGGTCCCTGCACAACCTGCTCTGATAAAGCTCAAAGCACAAAACCTCCTTTCTCTGGCTGTTTGCTGGAGCTTTGGCCAGTTCCAGCTTCACCCACTGCTAAACGACACACTCACCAAAGCCCTGGGGATGCTGCATCTCGGTGTGTGGGGACAATTTTGGTAGGATGGATTTGTTCTCCTGAGCCTCATTATCACTCTTGCCTTTATCCATTAAAGAATTACTGGCTGTTAGAAGTGGTTAGAAACATTTGGTGGATTTGCCAGCTGCTTCACCCCACCAGAACCACTTGCGCTTTGCAGAATAATTCCCATGCAGAGAGCTACCTTTTAGGATGGTAAAACCAAACCCTGGACACAGACTGGACCAGGAGGAACTTCAGTAGGGTGCACACAACCCAATGTACTTATGGATCTATACACCCCAAAGCACATGATTTCAGCCTCTCTCATGGTGGCTTTGGACCAGGTTTGCATTAAGCAGCCTCGTGGTGTGGTGCCATCATGAGAGCAACATGTTGAAATGATGTCAGCACCCCTCTGCCCAGGAGATGTTTTCTCACATCACCTCCACAGTTGTGTCATTGCCACCTGTCACCCCCATCCTGGCTCTGAGAGTTGCTGGGATGACACAAGAGGGTGTGAAAAGCTTTCTTGGTGGGAGCCATCCAACAGCTCTGGCTGTGTTTGCAGAGAGCATGGACCCATCACTTGCTGCAGTTGTTGGATTGATGTTGTTTGGAGTCTGAAGAGCAGAGCAGCTGGTGTTTGACCTCGAAGAGCCACAGAGCTCCCAACTGTCACATAAGAGGCATGTGAACAAATAGAAGAAGCACTCAAATGATGCAAGGAGGACATTGGTGCTGAGACATTTATGCCAATGCTGAGACCTCTTTAGACATTTTAACATCTTGAAAAGTCCTTGAAAACATCCAGAATTTTGAACTTAGGCTTTTTAATCTAAATGAAGCTCAGAAAAAATCTGAAGGGAAGGAGGAAAATAACCAAGACAAGAGACTGAAGAAGGAATAAACTTTTCACATCCAGGATTAGAGGTGAGAAAGGAGCCATGATCAGGGTTCCTCTGTCATACCGTGTCCCTTCTGCAGTGCTTCCTACCTTGTGCAGGTGCCCAGGGACCTTCTCATCCCAGCGCCCAACCAGCCAAGGTTGCCCCTCACAAAGGTCAGGTGCCACTTCACATTTCTCAGCTTCACATTTCTCAGCAGCTTTGAACACCAACATCTTAGTTTTCCCACCCAGCAGCCTCCAGGACACTGAAAGATCTGAAGCAAAGACACATCCAGGAAAAAGGAGCAGGAACCAAAATCCGCTGAGATCAAAGCACTTTTGTCTAGAGATTTTCAATTAGATTAGGATACACTCTGTCTGCTTTTCCTTGCTGCGTTCATAATGCAGATGAGCTTCATGTCAGCTTGGCCTTCTTTCTTCCTACCATGTTGGCTCCAGCTTCATTTCATTAGTGACAGCCTGCCTTCATTAGTGCATTAATTGCCCAGGAATTACATGGCAATAAACCCTCCCAGAGCAAGGACCAGCAAAGCTGCATGTTGGGTCTGGCTGGACAACTGCAAGTATTTTCTGGACCAAAAGGATATGCACAGAAATACTAAAAAATAAACAAAATTTATTCAAACCAGACCTGGAATCTTTGAAACCTTTTTAGCCAAACCAAGAAGAGATGTTTTGTGAGTGTTAGATTTGGATTGAGCCATGGGTTGGAGATCTAGGAAATGAGCCCTCATCTCTCCCTGGGTGGACAGACCCCAAGACAAAAGTCAAATCAACAGAAAAACAATGAAGACACCACTCTCCATTTGTTTTCAGATGTGTCCCCATATGTTAGGTGGCCATGGGGACTTTCACCACCTGGTGACAGACACCTAAAGTGCAGGTCCTGGGCTGAGCTGAGCTCCCTTGGCTGCAGAAGAGAGTGATGCAGAGATCTGGCCACATCAAGACATGAGGGAAGAAGTTGAATCTACTTTGGAAATGATAAGCAAAAGGAAAGGAGGCCAGACAGTGTCCTTGGGGTGAGGGCTTGGGGAGCACTTCATGATCTCTTGGAGAAGAAGGACCTCAACATCTCCCCCAGTGACTCCATTCTCAAGAAAGTTACTTTGACTGCAACATCTCCTGGAGCATCCCACCATGAGACAGCATCTCTCCCTGGAGGAGCCTGCTCCACGTCTCCCTGTTAGCTCTGTGCAGCCCCTGGGGACAATTTGTCTGCCTCTGCCTTCAACCATCACTTTTTGCTCTTCCTCTGAGGACACAAACAGCACTTTATCAATAATTGATATTCCACTTCTTCACATTATTTTCTGAACCCTCTTGTTCCACACCAAACCAAAGCTCCTGCCCAACCCAGTTCACCAGGATATCAATGAGCCTGATGGTCGCTGTTCTCCCTCCAGGCTCTTTTCTCTTGGCCAGGAGGACTTGGGTCGGTGCCCATCTCTGTGGGGAAGGGATGGTGCAAAAACCACCAGTGAGGGAGGGCAGGAGGAGAAGCTGGCAATTGTGGTCAAACTCAAAACCCCACAGATAAAGGAAACCAACCCAAATTGTATGATCATGGCAGTGACTATTATCATGGATGTTTTAGTCGCAGCTGTTAATAAAAATACTAATAGTAATAAAATTGCAATGATGCTACGAATTGTTCCAATGCTGATAATAATAATAATAAGATTATTTATTAATTATGAGCCATTATCAGCATTTTCTAGTGTTTCTGTCTCCCCGATCTGTTCTAAACTCCAGCTGTATCATATTAATGCAAAATGAGGTATATGAGAAGGGCTTTTTCTTTCATGGCGTAACCAAGGCAGAAACATGGGAACAGCAAAGTCTGTCCCTGACCCCTCTGCTACTTGCTCCCCCCACCAAATGCCTTGTGCTGTGGGGATCAAGCGTTAGGTGGGATCTTGCATTTCACAGAATCCCAGAACTGCCTGGATGGGAAAAGCCCTTTAAGATCATCGAGTCCCATCATGAACCCAACACTGACAAGTCCCCGACTAACCCATGTCCCTCAGCACTATGTCTACACGACTCTTCAATCCCTCCAGGGATGGGGACTCCACCACTGCCCTGGGCAACCCCTTCCAATGTCTCAGAACCCTTTCAGCAAAGAAATTCTTCCTCACATCCCATCTCAACTGCCCTGGCCACAACTGGAGCCCATTTCCTCTTGTCCTGTCCCTTGTTCCTTGGTTGAACAGACCCACCCCCACCTCTCCCGCCCCTTTCACGGAGTTCTGAGTAAGGTTTACTACTCCTAGGGTTTACTACTCCTTCTAAGTAGGGTTTGCAGCTTCAGAGCAGCTGAGGCCCATGAGAGCTGCATGGCCAAACCCTGTGGGGTGGACAGAGGAAGAATTCAAAGTAATTTTACGTTTTTTGTCATTCTTTTCCCACAGTGGGCAGTGGGCACCCATGAGCCCCCAGGGAGCATGTTTCCCTGCAGGGTGCTGCAGCTCCCTCTGCCCTTGGCTCGTTGCTTGAAGGAGCAAAGGGAACAAAAGCCCCTGTCCAAAATTTGCCGATTTCTATGTATTTTTCAGGTTCAACTGTGGTTCCTGTGACCATGGTGCACACATACAGGGGGCTACACGGAGAGACTTTGCTGACAGCTGCTGGCTGTTTCTGCAGTGCCATGTTTAAACCTCACAGTGCAGAAATAAGCTTTTGGCAGCATGGGGGGTTTTGAAAAAAAAATCTCTTCTGGGACGTGTATTGAAATATTGGGGAAAGATCGGGGGAGATCCTCTTACTTGAAAACAGTTCATTGTATTGTAACCATCAGTGACTGATGTGTGCTTTGGATAAGCAGAGAAAATGGCCAAAGAATGTAACTATAAAGTATCATACTATTTAACACTTAAGATTGTTTTGTAGGAGGGAAGGAAAATGGGATAAAACACCTTATGTTAATTTATTCTCTGTGAAATAATTATAGGAGTTGGAAGGATTGTGGATTGATTACTAAGGATACTAATGTTCTGAGTATGGAAATGGATAATGGGAAAGCTATCGATTGAAATGATGATGGTTCAACGGGTGGTCTTGAAAGATACAGAGGATGTGGAGGAGGAAGGGGTTCAGTTGTAGGTTGTGCTACGGTGTCAGAATAGAAAAATAGAAGGTGGAGGGAATGGAAATTGGGAACAAGACAGGGAGAGCAACGTCCTGATGCTCCAGCTGTTGTGTGTGTCAGGTCAGGCATGTGCAGCGAGGTGGCGGAGACGGATGTGCAGCAAGGAGGGGTGGATATGGACCATGGCAGAGAGATGGATGTGTGGCAAGGAGGAGGGATGGATGTGCAGCAAGTTGAGAGCATCCATGTGAGGCAAAGAGGGATGGATGTGCAGTGAAGAGACAGGATGGATGTGCATTAACAGGGGATGGATGTGTGTTGAGAAGGGATGGATGGGCAGCAAGGAGGGATGGATGCACAGCAAGGAGGACAGAAGTGCAGTGAGGAGTTTGGAGGGACGTGCATTGAAGTGGGAAGGTGGACGAGCAGTCAGCAATGTGGGGTGATTGCTCTGCTATGTGTGTGTTACACGCTCTGGACCATGCGTGCATCCAGGGACCCGAGGTCTGCACGACCTCCACAGCTGTTCTGATAGCCATCTGCAACAACACGCAATGTTCTGGAGCTGCGGGGGGCCGGCATCGTCTGGGCTGGGCCCCCTGCAGCCATTCCCCATCCCTTTTGCTTTGGCTGCAAGAGTGAACACTGCGTCCTCTGATCTGACCCTGCTTCATGACTAACAGGGTCTCAGTGCTCACTCTGCCCTGTGCACTCCCCCAACCCAGGCATGAGGGCTGGGGGAGAAGGGGTGGGTGCTCCAGGAGCAGCTCCATGCCTGGGTGCTGGCTGCAAGCCCTGGG